GAACTATTAATAAGCGTCTTGTTGACATTGAATACTAATGAGATAATTATTGAATACGTGAAGTCCCAGTCTCGTACAGTAGATAAACGTAGATACAAGATTTATAAGAGGGTCAAGTAGTGTGAACCCGCTTTCTGATGTTTGAACTTATTATAGTAAGGGACATGATTTCCTCACTATCCAAATCTATGTCACGGCCTAAATTTCACTAAATTTCATCCAAATAACAGAAACGTCCATTATACCAGATGTCTGAAAACGCCTTTTCTCTCATCCACAATTGTATATGGTCTCTGTCGCGTCCTGTCAATTTTATGTAGTCTCTGCCGTTAAATGTAAATTGCATGGATTCTCTCGCAACCTATAAATTGTAAGGAGTCTCTGTCACACACTGTAAGTTGTATGGAGTCTCTGCTGCATCCTGTAAGTTGTATGGAGTCTCTGTTGCATCCTGTAAAAAAATTGTATGGAATCTCTGACGCACACTGTAAGTTGTATGGAGTCTCTGTCGCATCTTGTAAGTTGTATAGGGTCTCTGTCGCACACTGTAAGATGTATGGAGTCTCTGTCGCACACTGTAAGTTGTATGGAGTCTCTGTCGCACACTGTAAGTTTTATGGAGTCTCTGTCGTACACTGTAAGTTGTATGAAGTCTCTGTCACACACTGTAAGTTGTATGGAGTCTCTGTCGCATCTTGTAAGTTGTATAGAGTCTCTGTCGCACACTGTAAGTTGTATGAAGTCTCTGTCGCACACTGTAAGTTGTATGGAGTCTCTGTCGCACACTGTAAGTTGTATGGAGTCTCTGTCGCACACTGTAAGCTGTATGGAGTCTCTGTCACACACTGTAAGCTGTATGGAGTCTCTGTCGCACACTGTAAGTTTTATGGAGTCTCTGTCGTACACTGTAAGTTGTATGAAGTCTCTGTCACACACTGTAAGTTGTATGGAGTCTCTGTCGCACACTGTAAGTTGTATGGAGTCTGTCGCACACTGTAAGTTGTATGGAGTCTCTGTTGCACCCTGTAAGTTGTAAGAAGTCTCTGTCGTACACTGTAAGTTGTAAGAAGTCTCTGTCACACACTGTAAGTTGTAAGAAGTCTCTGTCGCACTCTGTAAGTTTTATGAAGTCTCTGTGGAATCCAATAATTTGTATGGAGTCTCTGTTGCACCCTGTTAATAGTATAAAGTCTCTGTTGCACCCTATTAATAGTATAAAGTCTCTGTTGCACCCTATTAATAGTATAAAGTCTCTGTTGCACCCTATTAATAGTATAAAGTCTCTGTTGCACCCTATTAATAGTATAAAGTCTCTGTTGCACCCTATTAATAGTATAAAGTCTCTGTTGCACCCTGTTAATAGTATAAAGTCTCTGTTGCACCCTATTAATAGTATAAAGTCTCTGTTGCACCCTGTTAATAGTATGTAGTCTCTGTTACTCTGTCAGTTGTATGGCGTCTCTCAGATCCCGTGCGTTTCCCCTGGATGATTGCTGTCAATTCATGAAACTTGAAAATGACAAAGTGCAAGAAATAAAGTTTGAATTGCATAATATAGAAAAAAGTGGTTTGCTAAGTATTTTTCATTTACAATGATTTTTCGCTTCTCAAAGTATGGTACCTAATTTAACAGAATATTGTATTATCTATACGCTATTGGGAAACTATCCATTGTTGAAATGTAAATGATTACATATGATCACGTTGATGACGTTACTGCTAAGGCCACTGCATCTACTTCCTCGTGAAGTGGTTACAGACGCTGCGGTTACTTGTTCTCCTATTACATATAAGTCTCTTATAGTAATTGTCATACAATGTATCACACTAAATTAATATAGAGGCTATATATATATATCGGTTAACATGGAAATGGCGCCATTTTCATAATTTAAGAGATGGTATATAAGATAATAAAGACATATGCAAATACAGTCTACAATACTTTAATACTATTTATCATTTGTATCACACCAATCACTATGGTAAGTATATAAAACGTGAGAGTGCACCATTGTATGCGTTTTTGCGGCAGCAGTGCAATATTTGTGTATTTTGTCTCCTGAACTTTTCAAAAGATATCCATATTTTCACTCCTTGGCAGCACAATACATGTATCAATATTAAGACATGACAAAGTTTTTGTGACAATCGGTCCAGTGACCACATTTGAAATGAAAACATTGAACGTTGGGATATTGGCATATACAAATGTATATATAACGTCAGCCCCGCTCAGTATTTATTTATTTTTTTTTTTTTCATTTTCATTTTCTGATTCACTCCTCTATTCACTTCCCTGTAACAACTCACATGATAGTATCAAATTCCTTTTCATAATCCTTTTCATAGACCTTCCCATCTGTAGTGGTATTCACATCCGTGTTATAATGGGACTGTCTTAAGTAGCGAAGCCGTCCAATACACAATCAGCATCTGGCAAATAGTTTTATGTCTTCCAGTAATCTGATAATTCCAATAATTACACAGAGGTCTGAATTTTATATCGGGTAATTATTGTCACGTGTATTTCTATTACAACATCTGTTAGCTCAAGGTTGCTATTACATGTTCTTGTATGTATCTGTATATGGCGTTGATACACGTTTTCGGGCAAATTACCAGTGAAAAAAATGAAGTGAAAATCTTGTTACAGATAATTGATAGTTCATAAGTGAATGATACATTTCGATTTATATCTCGAATCGACTCGTAAGTGAATGCTAAGGGCAAACTTTGTTGGTAAATTTAGAAGGTGTTCAAATATTGACTGGGGTGCAAGGGTGTGCACTTCCTACATAGATAATGTTAAAATGCAAATATTGATCAATCCACCTAATAAGTGCCATGTTACCAATGAGAACAAGACAACCAATAACGAGAATTCCAGACACATATACGAGCATCTAATACATCGGATCCGATATTGTCAAAAGGGAAACAGATATTTTGACAAGAAAAATCTGTCCCATAACCCCATCAACATGCATCTCTCGTTTACCTTCTGAGAAAATTCATTTATCATCTGGCGACATCTTTTACGGAAAATACAGCTGAGAAAGAATAAAAAGAAAGCAGAAATATAACCATTCAGAAATCGCAAATTCATTAAAGGCAAATCGTAATTATTACACTTATACAACTGCGTCAGAAGTTGCCTCTGTTGGTCTCTCTACTGTTCCTTTCTCTGAATTCAGCCTTGTATGACGAGGAACGTCCAACAAATGATCCAAATACAATTTAAAGTTAACCAGAAGCTCAATGCCTCTCTCGGCACCCCTGCTCATCCCTCCAAGCTCTGTTGAGTAACCCATGGGTGTGTCGCCTAGAGCTCGGTGGTGGCGCACTTATAACAGTAATACTTGCCTAAGCCTATGACTGTATATCTTACTATGATATATTTTGTGTATGTAATTTTGATAAATTCTTTGAGAATGCCAATTTGTTGATTGTTCAGAGCAAAGTCAGTCCTCTTTTGACGCCAGCACAGTTCATTCAAAGTCTCAAAGTACACATTATCAGATCGTAGTACGCAATATTAAGTCTCATGATGACTTCTTGGGAGAAAACAGACAGAGTGGATAACTCAATTCTGACAGAACCACAACTATTTAATTAAATGAAAACACACCGTATCATATACAAGATGTAATGACTTTGCGTATTACCCCATCTAATAGTGATATAGCTTATTATTTTAAGTCATGGTTAGAAAATTAAATGACGTCATACATTCTCTGATCACAGTATTGTGGCAAAGGTTAGAGCGTAGATATAGAACCGTAAGGACGTAGAATATATGCCAGTGTAATTGGTCCTATGATAACAATTTATTTTATATTTCATATGTATATTATAAAATTCGTTTCATCTTATGTACCATGTAGTTCCTTGTTAAAACAAAATCATATTGCATTGGAAAATTTTGATGACACAAGTATATCATATTACTAAGTGTTGCAATACCAAACTTACGTATAAGATTGAATTACTGGTACACATAATAGTACTTTAAGATGATCATCACGTTGCAATTTTGAAAATCTTTAGGAACGTAACATAGTCAATATTTCTCATTGTATGGCTGTGCTAAGTTCAAATAAAAGATGTAAACTCACCAGTCCATTGTGTAATGCCAGATCCTGAACTGCGTATTGTGAAGTTATATTGCCAATTATGTAAAACTTTTTGTTGGTGCTTGCTTATACAAAAGATGAAAATTGAAAATGGTAAATATAAGCATTCATCCGATTTCAGCTCGTGTGAATATGATTCCAGCTGGAAGACACTATAACAATGACGCGTCTCTGAAAGCTGCACAACGATTACATAATTCAAAACGAAGATTAAGGACAAAAAAATCAATGTCCAAATGACCTCCACAGTATTAAAAAAAAACAGGAAATAATATATATTATCAAGTGTTTCGGGAGACGTACACATTGGATCTGTACCGCAAAACACAATAACATCTCCTGTCAAAACTAGGATGGTATGTAGGTCACTGTTTGACGCACAGTGAACCATACTATATAATAATAGGCAATATTAGCTGGATACTATGATAGATACAGAAATCTCCTAGTCACGATGATGACAGTTGCTCTTTAATAAAGATTGATTTTATCCTTTTATCTTATTAGTTAACAAAACAAGACATTCAAAAAAATTCTATAAGGAATACAGGCATGTAGTCACCACTGTTTAGAGCCTGGAGCGTTTCCTCCACGTACATTGTGTGCTTATACAGGCACATGTGTCCTAATGCGCTGTACTATAATATGTTATTCACGTGAGAATTTAATAGGATAGTAATCATTATCTGAAAATCATCTTGGACAGTTCCCGAATATTTGCATTCATGTAACAGTCACAGTTAATGTATGAATAGTACTACTGGACTTACCTCAACGTATATCGTATTCAGCAATTAAACATCGATGTCTAGATATTATATATAAAGAGAATTCGAAATAAAAAAGGAAATAAAGCGGCCTTACCTGAACATGTTGAGGGGAGCCAGTGGCATAACTAAAAGAAATAAACTTGACACGCGCTGACGTAAAACACCTTTCTCTGTATGTAACGTTAATTGATGATTACACATGTAAACGTTGACATTGCTTAATCAATTAAGTCTTATTCTAATTGTACAATCTAAGAATTAAAGCCTTGTGTCACATAGAAAAGTTTCCCATATCTTCGTATGCTTACACAACGTCAAATAAAGAGCATAGAGGAAACCCTTGTTGAAAATGTCCGGAAATGACCTGCTGTCCGGCATTCGAGAAATATTTACTGAGTGATACAAGCGCACTTAGGACATGAATCGAGCATACAAAGCCATACAGAGTGGAAAATATTGACACCCCCATAGCATTTTAATCATAAAGAATGGGCTGGATGACTTGACAACGGCAAATAAAAGCGGAAACAGTTTGTCCAGTTTCATGTGCAATGGAAAAATAGCCCAACATCTCTGTAGTATCAACTAACGATATCACGTAACATAGTTGGTTACACGCATACAAATATAATATATTACAATGTATATGGTGTGTAGATATATTACCGTATTTCTAAGACTTTAAAACAAGAAATATTACCCTCATTTCAAGCTTTCTGTTTTAAGTCCTCGATGTAAGATTTACGTCTTCATATGACCCTTGATATGGCCGTTAAAATAGTTACTGGTGTGAAAATGACCTTAAGATATCTTTATAACTGCACACGTAGCTTGTAAATGACCTCATGATATTTGTATGGACTCAGTGCAAACAAGGATGTATTGTTAACGAGTATCAGATGGCAGTGAGTATCACTGGTAGGAATTAAATAATAAGATATATTTATTTCCTCGTTGTAAGAGAGTACACATTGGTAGCTAGTAAATGATAACATGACATCTTTATTTCCCCTTGATCAAATGATATTTTTATATCTATGTAAGTGAGTGCAGATTGTGAGAAAATTATTTTTATTATCTCATCGTGAGAAGTCATGGTTAGCGAGTGAATGACAGCAGATATGTACTCCTTCATCGTACATTGCTACTCATAATCAGTCTACTTAACGACTAAACACAAACATTACAGATGACAACACGATGACAAGCTTGGACGACTACACCAACAAATGTATGTTAATATACCATAATCTGATTTTGGTTTTACTTGCGAGTCCTTGTCAATGATAGAATTAAGAACCCTACTCAGCTTATAATTTTGTTTGTAGATTGGCAACTTAATATTTTACAATTTTTAAAAAATAATTCTGATGAACTGCCCACACCAGACCAATTTATACTCCATCCCATCTACGCTTGGGTCGAATATACTTTGTATTTCATCAAATGTAGTTCTGCCTTTTTGTACCCTTTTAATATTGACGTGTTTTACAAAAATATTAAGATTACTGGTCAAGGCATTATGTATGCGATGAGTTTTCATGTTAAATCACTGTCGGCAGGTATCCTTTTGTTAATTAATACTGTATTTCCATGAGTGTGTGAGATGTACCTATGACTGTCCAACATGATACCTACGTTTTAGAAATATTTATTTAGATAGGTTACTGGTTTATATGTGACGCAGTTACTGGTATATCCTATGTGTAGTGAGTGAGTGTACTCTAAATGTTTATTCTGTTTTCAGAAAATTTTATTTACAATCATGACGATATTTTCTTTACTCTTCAGAATTACAGGCTGAAAAACAGATTTTCAGTTGTTAAATTAAATTCCCTTTCACTTTCACTTTCAATTTTGTTATTTTTTTCTTGTTGTGGGTAATTCTACACTTTAATTTAACTTTAATCATCCAGAAAGTTTAAAAAGCGTCCATTAGTCCGACCGGAAGTAGTGCTGAATGCTCACCATCGACTCAAATATACTGAAAGTCTTTATTTAGCGTCCTTTATTTTTCTGACTTAATTAAGTTCGAGTATTGTTAACTTCATACAGTCTATACCGAAGTTTGAAGTAATTTTTCCGTTTTTTTTCCATCCGATGCTGACATCGACTGTCCGTTTTGCTTTGTATTGCGTGTGGTCATCTTCATGCAATGATTGTTCAAATAAACTTATTTTTTTCTGAATTCGTCGTCCATTTCTTCGTCGAAAATACAAGAAAAAAAAAGATTTTAGTGTTAAATCTGTTACATCATTCACATCCTGTTTTGGGGCTAAAACTTGGCTGGCTGCATCATTAAGTGCCCTTTGAGATAATACTGATAAACATAACTGCGTTGATAGAGGACATCTTTCAAATAGTAGTTTTAGATAAAATATAAATCTACAGTACAGTTTTTAGCTTATTGGTTTATGTTTTCATTGGATATTCACTGTTCGATTTGTTTATTTCAGATGTTTTTAGCATTTTGAATAAAGCATATTTTCAATTAATGGGTATAATATGCTTTGGTGATTTTACTACAAACTCGTGTAATTGAGCTCCAAGTCTTCAGACAAAACTGTTACAAATTTTAAGTTTTAAACCAAAAAAACGATGAATTTTCTTCTGAGTCGATACTGTTTCACGCAGCTACATCCATGGTCAATATTTGTCCATTTTGTCAGCAAATTACGAAATCTGTGGGATGCCATCTATGTGTTATTTCCGGCATTTTGTTTGATATTGTTGACACCTATCCGACCTTGAAAACAATTTCATATCGACAGAATATTTGCTACTATATAAATGGCCTTTCTAACATCGATATTGATGAGTGTTGCTCAATACATCAGCATGGCGCCTAACCTTAGGGATTTAGATAGTTCCGCGGAGGTTTTAAGGTTACACCCTTCTATATTTAAGAATTAATGCATGATTTAGTGGTAGAATTATTTGTAATACGAGATGAAAGTATGACCGGAGGTGAGTAACACAGATATTGAATGGTGGTTAGTCACCTCTGTCGGGGAATGTGTTTTTGTAGGAAGGTATATTCATCTCCGATTAGACATGTAAAAGACATGTAAAACAGCAATGAAACACGAAAAATCTTTACAGAGAGATTTGGCAACATACCTATTGAAATTTCTGAATCTATACTTGGCCTGCTGAAAGATATCTCCTTCTATTCTCAGAGTGTTTTTTATCATAAAGTATGGACTGATGTGGTGACGCCCAATTCTTGTAGGACAAAAAAGGCAAGATGAAAACATCTCATATTGATACAAAACATCTGGTAGAGTTCATGTCCAATTGTTACCATCACACTGTCTAAAGCAAAACGCATGACTGCCCTACCACAAATACATTGCATGTCTTTGTAACACAGTGTTCAGAATGTGCCCAAAGATTGTAAGTCCCCCGTTTTCATACTAACCAGATTAAATTTATCAATGTAAGCGCATTGATATAAACACTAAATGTGGGAAACATCAGAGTTGGTTTGCATTCTACCGACTTTTGATTCAAATTCACGGTAGCTGCAGATTTCTGAATACATTCGTCTTGGGACGAAATGCTCTTCTTATCAAGTGCTCGTATATTGCTATGGTCAAAATAAGCTGTTTTAAATGTATTTTTATGAAAAGTGTCACTTTTCGTACCATAATGTAAAACGCATTTAAATTCGGAAATAGAATAAATACTTTTTTATCAATAGATTTGGTCATAAGAAATATTCTGTTATATCAAATAATTATGAAAATAAAATTAAACTGGTTATTTTTAGCTCGCCATTCATCGGTTGGAACTTAATCCCTATACCTAAGTTTATTCTAAGTTTAAGAATTTTTGTGACGTGAACTAAATTGCATGGATATTTTTGTGTATTCTGCTATCAGATTTATCTTATGTGTCCGATGAATGACATTGATTTATATTGATAAGACAAGCATTCTTTATGACTGCTTCAAACTTCTCGGCTAAATTTTCTGATACAAAATCAAAATAAAGATTTCAGGATAGGCAATTCCAATTTACCTAAAAGATGTGAATTCATGATTTCGAAGCTTTAGCCAAAATTGACGATATCGTTAATTTCCAAGCATTCCATTTCATTACTCGTCATACTTTTCCCATTATCAGCCAATTTAGCTCTCAGATCAGGACCACCAACCCGCTTCACATCTTCTAAGGAAATTCAATGTTAGTCAATAAATGCGTGTGTGTGTTTGTGTGTCGATGCCCTCAGCTGTGTATATGTAATGTGATTCAACCAGATGGGTCATTGAGTATGTTTCTGTGGGAACATTATCATTATGACACTTAGCACGTGATACATAGCACAGTGTTATATATGTGTCGTTGTAATGCCACTTGTCGTTCCCTTATCAATAAATGCTTTAAATGACATCAATTTGATGGTGCTATATATGCAGATTTTGGTAAAATAAAATATAAGTGCTTTGCTTGCATATGTTGTGTACCCCATCAATTATATATTAAGTCTGTTTCATTCGTGAATTAATGAAGGTGTTAATGACTTGATAATTTCAAAAAAGTTTAATAAAATTCAAACTGAATATAAATGGTTTTATTTATCTGAAAACGGAACTTGTGTGATTAGGAAATGACGTAACTGCAGCAAATGGCGTCGACATATGTAAATTATAAGACTTTTTTTAAAATGTCAAACTGATTAGTCTGTCTGATCTTTCATCTAACATAAAAAAAATCCAGAAACCAGAAAACTGTGTTGTACATTCGAACAAACGTGACGGAAGTTTTCCTGTCAAAATCGCAATCTTCGAAACTTGTAACCCTGAACACCCTCGGTTTTCTGTGACCCTGAACACCCTCGGTTTTCTGTGACCCTGAACACTCTAGGTTTTCTGTAACCATGAACACCCTCGGTTTTCTGTAACCCTGAACACCCTCGGTTTTCTGTGACCCTGAACACTCTATTTTTTCTGTAACCCTGAACACCCTCGGTTTTCTGTGACCCTGAACACCCTCGGTTTTCTGTAACCCTGAACACTCTAGGTTTTCTGTAACCCTGAACACTCTAGGTTTTCTGTAACCCTGAACACCCTCGGCTTTCTGTAACCCTGAACACTCTAGGTTTTCTGTAACCCTGAACATCCTCGGCTTTCTGTAACCCTGAACGCTCTAGGTTTTCTGTAACCCTGAACACCCTCGGTTTTTTGTAACCCTGAACACCCTCGGTTTTCTGTGACCCTGAACATCCTCGGCTTT